GAACGTCTAACCCTGCATTCCATACATGTAAGCTGTGACCAGTCCTACCAGTGGTGACTTTTCCAGCTGGTTTGGGGAGCGACAGACTTGCATGTCCATATTGCATTTATCATAAATTCTCACTTGAGCAGTGGCAGCCACGGAGAACACGCGAGGAGAATGGAACGACCATTTGTCACCAGGCCGGATAACCGGGGTCGTGTGTAGGGCTGGGGCTAAGTGGGAAATCGCTGCACCTGACTCTCCATTCGGTTGTGAATTTACAACTTCTCTATAACAAAGTCCACTGAAAATTTCAAAGTTAAAAAGAGAAACATGCACTTCTGTTTCAGGCTAATGAGCATGAGTTATGCATTGTCAAGGCAACTGAGCAGGCCATATTCATTATGATAGAGGAGTTTCTACATATTTGAAAAATAAAACATTAACCGTGTAGCCACATTTGGAAAAGACCTCACTGAATTATTGAAGGCTGTTGCAGAGGCCTAAGTGGAGCTTTGGAGATGCGCTCTGGAGAAGGAACCTGAGCAACTCAGAAAGCCGAAACGGTGGAAGTGGAGATAGATGTAGTGATGACAACCACATCTAACCACAATGACATCAGGTCTGCCTCAGAAGGGCCAGGACTCGTGGCCCTTCAGCTGCCAGCTCCTGCAGGCTGGGACATCCTTTAAGAGAGTGTTCAGCCCTTAATGTACTTTTCTCTAAATACTGCAAGGTAGGTTGGGTATTTTACCTGTGGGAGACAGAGGACCTGGCATAGAGCAAACACTCCTGAGTGTCATCCCACAATCACTTGGCCAGCACACCGTGAGGGAGCAGCCTGAAGTCACAACCCCAGCACCATGACCTGCAGGGTACAATCCACAAGATTGCATATAACAGGAGAAACATACATCTGACCGAGAAGAGGCCATTCTGAGAAGGTTACTGCAGGGTGTGCTCCATGTGATGATCATGCACCTGAGCCTGCACTCAAAGGCAGCCCAGGAGTGATGGGAATGGTCAGGTGGGGATTTTCTCTTCCGTGGTCATCAGCAGTGTCTGCGTCTCCTCATCACATAAACACTTGTCCAGACTGGAAAATGGGGCACAGTTTTCTGACTATACACATGACTGTTAGCGTCTCTGAATCCCAATGTCTCCATCCCCTCTTAATACCAGGACAGGTGTATTAGGAAAGGACAAAGAAAAAGGCACCTGCATGGTGAAGGAGAGCAGCCCTTCCTGTTTTGCTGCTTTCTCTGTCTTCATCCCTATGAACAACTGGGGAAGTCATGCCAAGTGTGAAGAGAAAACCTGAGACTTTGCAGGACGGTGGAAATCTGTGGAGAAACGGAACATGGTCCAGCAGACACTCAGATGTCCGTGTGTGGCTGTGGGACCCACTTGATGCTGGGCAAGGCTGACGCCTCTCTCAGGCTGACCCTATGGGCTGGTGGGGCCCAACCTTACAGGGCCCCTCCACACTCAGAGCTGGGCTGACACCTTTACACACAACCAAAGTTACAGGCAGAGGTTTCCGCAGACCACTCGTTCTAGCTGAGCTGTCTGAGGCCATTTCAGAGCCATTTCCTGTCATCGCGAAGGGTGGAGGGAGTGCTGACCTGTAACGAGTGGGCAGAGGAAACTCCATGACATGTCTCTGAGCCGGAGACTTCAGAGTCCTAAGTGGCGTGTCTCCACTACAGTTCATATGCCCTGGACCCGTGGCACCCCCCAGGTGGGGCTCCGGCAGCTCGTGGAAGGAGAAGGGACAAGGACATGGCAGACCCCACAGTGAGCAGGGAGGGGACACGCCCAGCAGAGGGAAGAACGACCCAGCCTCCACATCCCCGGGGCTGAGCCCCATCACGGGTCCATCCACACCTGCTTGTAAACTGCTCCCTTGTAGCCCCACCTGCCCGACAGCTTTCCCTGCTCTTGAGACAGTCATGTCCCCCAAGCAGGGAACGGAGGACACTCGCCCAGAGTCTCCAATTTGCAGTTCTGATGCTTCAGCGCGTCACACAGGCCCCAGACACGAGCATCCTTATGTGTTTTGCCCACTGTCAAGGTTTCAGCTTCTCGTTGCTGATGAGAACAGCCGCGAGGTCCTCACAGCACCTGGAAGTGTTTATGCGCATTGTGGCGTGTACACCACTCTAGGGCTCACACCATCCTCACGGGCCCCTCCTGGCCCTGGACAGCACCATGTTCTCTCTCCACTTCTGCGTGCCTGATGCCTGCAAAGGCCCCGCATACATGGGGTCAGGCAGGGTCTGTCCTAGAGACTGGGAGGTCTCAGGAAGGACAAGACCCCCAGATTCACCCATGAAGTTGACAGGCCAGGATTTTCTCCCCTTTTCAAGACTGAATAATATTCCACCCCAGAGTCAGCTAACACCCCTGAATCTTCACTGACCTATGTCACCTTCTCCCATCTTTATGCTGGTCACACTCCCACCAACACCTGCCAGAGTTGCCCCCTCCTGTTAAATGTCATTGGCGACCATGATGAAAGTCCTATAGCTCAGGGTGTTTCCCATGACCCTGACGTCCTTCACCCCTGGAGACGGTGCTATCCCTCCCCACAAAGGGCACTTAGGGCCATCGAGTATGGGGCTGCATGGGGAAGCTCCCACATAGTATCAACTTGAACATCACTCTGTGCTGCCTCCGGCCAGCCTAACCCCTCCAAGGATTACCGGGTCTCTTTGGGGTCATGGGCAGATGGGACTTGGTTTGGATTTGGAGCTGGACGAAAAAGACTCGATGAAGCTTTCCATATCGAGATCCTGAGTAGTGCTTAACCAAGACACCCTTCGCCATAGAAGTCTCACCTGCCGTCTTCATCCTCCCTAGGGTACAAGACTCGGGGCCAAAGGCACTAGAGGAATTTAATCCAAGGGAGACGCCAGATCACAGGGACAGCATCAGTTTGCACCAACACAGCGTCAGCCTGAGCTGGACGCCCCGGGGACTGTGGGTACGGCCATCGGGACGTGTGTGTCCTTGTCCTGGGACGGGTGTGAAGGATTGTGGCACAGCCTTGACATTCATTGCCCCTTGGATTACACTTTGGTTCTGAACTTAGTTCCTTCCTCAGGGAATGTGGGAAACTTTCTGAGCTCAGCTGCTCATTAGGTCGCCCCAGTAATTGCCCAGAGCTGTCCCCTGTCAGCCGAGGTGAATGACGGTGAGGGACTGGGGTGAGACCCCTCTGGATCCTCTCAGACTCTCCACGCAGTCAGTGAGTGTGAGGGCAGGTGGCGTGATGACAGGGTGTCTGTGGGGAGGGCAGGGCAGGGATCACTGTCTCTATAACTGGCCAGGCCTGCTGAGCTCTCCCTGCACTGTGCTGGGAGAGAGCCTGGCCAGGTGAGTGCTCCCCTGCACCCTGTTGGGGGTCTCTGGGAGGGGGAAGGCTCAGCCTGGGTTGTGCAGGACTCAGCAGGCTGGGGCTGGATTCACTCCAAGTGTTTGCTCTGTTGATATTCACGTGAACGGGGCAGTTTCTTCCTTTCTCCTTCAGATGTTTCATGGGGGGAAAGTGACTATTTGTGTTCCCGTCACAGCTGCCAACTGGCTTCATTGATTCCAGCAGTTTTCTGGTGACTCTTTGGATATTTCTCTATCAAACCACTCCATCCTTTTACTTCTACTTTCTCCCCGGCTGTCCCATGTCTCTTTAGTCTTGCCCGCACCCAGCTGGCACCCTGTGTTCTGGGGCACGAGGGAGTCCTGTCCCATGGTGGGCATTAGAGCAGGTGCGTGGAGCCTCTCTGCGGAGTAGCCCCTGGAATGCTGGTGCTCACCATGTTGAGTTACGTTCCTCTTATGCAGAGGGTGAGAGGATTCACCAGAAACAGTGCAGGGAACAGAACAGGCAGATTGTCCCAAATACAATGCAGAGGGGAGCAGCGGGTAAGCCAGGAGAGGTCTGCTGAGCCATGTGGGTATCTCCCTGGATGACCGGGGATTCGAAGTGGTGCTTCAGTGGCTGCGGTCAGCTTCATGGGTTACATCGTAACCCCTTGCACCACCAGGGAGGCAGTATTGAAGGTCTTCTCACATTAAGTTAATGTGTTCGCTTAGATTCTGCATCTGGACGTCCAGCTACATCCCGAAGGGCAAGAAGTTCTGACTGTTATGTCCTCGAAGGGCCTCCTGTTCTCCTGCTCTGCACAGTCATCCCTACAGGCCTGTCCTGGTGTTTACGTGCTCGCTCTTCCATGTGAACTGCTGCTTCAATGCTGCTTAGTAAGTTCTCTCTCAAATTGATACTTTGTGCTCCAGAATTTCCTTATTTTTTCACTTCAGACCTGGGAGGGCCTCCTCTGCTCGACGATATTTTCCTGAGGTCCCCTTATCACCCTATGTGTTTCTGGGGCTCTGTGGATTTCCCCATCACGACTGTCTTGCACTCTTAATCCCAGTGAGCACAGGTTCCAGGCGTCCTGGTTAGTTGCCGGGAAACCCTCATCACTTTGTGACAATAATGCTTTCTCACAGTGCTGATAAGCACTTCTTTCACCTCATTACAGGGGAGAACAAGCTCCTCTAGGTGAGGTTCTGCCCATCACCCCTGATGCCTCATTAGCGGGAAGGAGGGGAGCCAAGATTTCTTGTCCAGGTGGTGGGGGCTGCTGTGGCGAGAGGCTTGACTTTCATTTGCCAGAGATGATTCCCCACCTGATTGGGAGCCCCTGAATAAAGACTCCCTTCATCCCCCTCTGCCTCTGTCAGCAAGGCTGTGTCCCCTTGTCTGCCCAGCAGGGGCTGGTCTGGGTGCCTCACCTCCCCAGAGACCCACCTGTCCACATGTAGACCCACAGCAGGTGGCTCTGCATGGGCAGCATGTCCCGTGAGCTCATGGACCCACACTGCTGGGCAGTGAGAAATTGAGGAGAAACAGGAGTCAATACAAAAAAGGATGTTGGCTGTGATGCTGGGGTCAGTGATATGCTCCCCAGGCTCAGCTCCTCTGGGGACACAATAGTGGCTGCATTTGCAGGGACGGATGGCAGAGATCATTGCGCAAGGATGAGGAACGAGGATCAGCCCTGCCATGACGCCAGCAGAGACCACGCCCTCTTCAGCCCCCATAAGGCCTTCTCCAAGTCCTTCCAGAACCACCACCATCAAGCCGCGGGAGAACCGACATTACAGATCACTTTTCTTTTATTGATGGGGGTGGGGACCCCAGCCAACGTCCTCCTCTTCTTGCAAAACGTCTCCCCAATCATTTCAGGATGCAGGCAGAAGCTCCCCAACACGATTCTCTCCCACATGGCCGTGGCCAACGTCTTGGTTCTTCTTCCCATTGGGATCTCAAACACAATGGCAGCTTTCATGCCCAGGCGGCCCCTGTCCTCTCTTGGGTGTAAGTTTTTAGGCTTTATTCACAGGATGGCCCGAAGCACCACGCTGTGCGCCACCTGCCTCCTGAGCACCTCTCAGCTCTTCACTCTCAGCCCCGGAAGAGTGGGGTGGACGGTGCTCCCGGAAGTGTTCCCCAAGGCCCTGGGTCCTTCCTGCAGCACCTGCTGGCTGCTCGGTGTCCTCATCAATGCCTACGTTCCTGTGAAAGTCACTGGTCCACGGAGCATAGGCAATGGCTCCGAGCCCCGGGGGTCCTGGTTCTGCTCGGGATCAGGCTCCAGCGCTGCTGTTGTGGTCCTGTGGTTGGTGCCGGACGCCATCTTCATGGGTCTTATGGGCTGGGCCAGCGTCTCCATGGTCCTCCTTCTGCGCAGACACCAGCGGAGGGTGCAGCACCTGCACAATCCCAGGGCCGGCCGGGGGTGCCCCCCAGAGACCAGAGCCACCCGCACCGTCTTGATGCTCATGGTCATGTTTGTCAGCTTCTACCTGCTGAATTCTAGCTTTGTTTTCTATGTGACTATCTTCTTAGACACCCCTCTGTTGCTGATGCAGGTCTCTGATGTCCTGGAGATGTGTTTCCCCACTCTCTGCCCCTTCCTGATGATCCTCAGGGAATTGAGAATGCCTATGTTTTGTCCTCGGATTTTCTGAGCCCGCAGGTGTGCCTCCCTCACTCCTGATTCCCCACACAATGGAAAAGGAGAAGCCATGTTGATTCAGCCTCCCCACTCTGCGTATAGGTGAAATATCACGCTCTGCTTTGTGACCAACGTGCAGGTAGGGATGTGACAGCAGACCACAGGGTCCCTCCAAAACACGTGTTTTGTGTGGATGCTTCTCCCCGCTCCTGCAGCGAGCCCCCCACTTTGGGTTCAGCGCCACCCCGTGTGAACAGACAGCCCCATGGACGATTAAGTACTGGAAGGTGCCTCAGTTTACCTGTAAACTCACACGGCGCCGCCTTACATTTACTGAAGCATCCCACAAGCAACAAACCCCCAGCCCGGGATGGGGGCGTCCAGGCCTCTCTGGACGACTCGCCCCATCTACCCCAGGGCATCTCCCCCCTCACTCCCTACCCTCCCCTCCTCCCCCAGGTCTGGCACCCCTGGCTCCCGGCCAGGGGCTCTGTGGTAATGGCTCACCTGGAGCCTGCGCACTGAGAGGCGCCCAAGGCTGCTTGTGTGCATAGAACAGTCCGGCCCCGGCCCCTCCAGGGTGTCACCTGCAGACACATGCTCCCGGGGCAGCGCTGACCATCCGGTGGGCCCCAGCCTGACCGCACGTCGGCTGGGCCCACACCTGAGGTCGCACACGGGGGACCTGGGCGAGCATCTGCCTTTTGCTCAGATGGTCACACAAGCGCACAGAGAACGCAGGTTCCCCACGGGGCTTGGCACCGCCCCTCAGTGCAGGCGGCTCGACAGCGCCCACGGGGGTGGACAGTCCACCAAACGCCCCAGATGCACGGGGCGCCCGTCGGGCCTACCTCTACGAGGGACCTCGAGGCTGCCAGGTTTGTTCCAGAGCTCACGTCTAACACCTGGGCTGAAGGGCCCCAGAATTCACATCCAGACACCGTTCTCCCTGCATGACCTCTGACACCAAGGCCCGGCTCCGCACCCTCCCCTGCCCCAATCCCCCAAGAAGAGACCAGAAGCCAGGGCTCCCCAGCACTCCCCAGCACCCAGAGCTGCATTTCTGGCTTCATGGAGCTCTGACTCAGAACAGGGAACCCACAATCTGGTGATTCACTTTCTCTGTGGGGTCCCAGTGGAGAGAACCAAGACATTGGCCCTGACAGCTGGGGGAGCACGGTGCTGGGGACGTCTGACTGGGCCCACACAGGACAGGGAATGGGTGGAGGAAGAGTGGGCTTTGGCCAGCGTCCCCACCCCTATGGAGAAGGAAGAGCCATGTCAGGGCCCTGCCAGGCCCAGGGCAGGGCTCTGGGGAGACAGAGAGTGGGCCGTTGGGCGTGCCCAGGCAAGGGCTGGCGCAGGGGACCCGGGCATGAGGATGCCCCATCAGAGGGCACGTCTAGCCTGGCCGGACATCGCCTACTCACTTTGCTCCTGCCGCTGTCTCCTTCCTGACTCCCCCAGAACCTGAGGTCCCTGACCCTGGACACTGCCTTGGGGACCAGAGCGACGACACAGGGAGAGGGAGACTCGGCGGAGCTCGGGTGAGCACAGGACAGGCCACGCGCGCCGGCTGCGTCCTCCCGGCGCCGGGTCAGCAGCAGCTGGAGCTGAAACACCAACATAGGCTCAGAGCCACGGATTCCAACTGTGGACCGGAGATGCACCCAGACTCCTTGCGGGGATGCTGATGCCCCCACTCCAGACACGAGGCTGCGCCCCCAGACACCAGGGTCTCCTGCCCGGGCGCCAAGACAGGCCGAGGGCCGGGTCCTGGCTAGGCAGAGAGGCCTCTGGATCGGCCCTGAGCGCTGGCCACACCCACAGTGTCCCCTGACCACAGCCCAGGCTCTTCCCATCACACGCCCATGAGCCCGACAGAGCCTGGCTCATCACTGCCCTCCTGGGGGCGCTCCTGGCGGGGTTCTAGGCCTGCTCCCCAGCTCCAGGTGGGTCTGGTCACCGAGCCTGGGGGAGACGGGGCCTACACGGCCGGGTCCCTGCACAGGTGTGTGAAGCACGTCCTCACTAAACAGGGGACCCTCGTCATGCAGGAAGTTCAGGGTCCCCCACCCCAGTACCCAGGGTGGGCACCCGGGGAGAGCCAAGCAGGGCACGGATCAGCAGAAACAACCCTGAGCCCAGAGGGGCTGCCCCTGAGAGTCTTTCTCTACTGCCGCCTCCCCCAGCATGTATGGGGCCTTACCAGGCCAGCAGGGGACAGGGGAGACCCCTCAGCACCAGGAGGCTGAGCACAGTGTGACCCGGGTTCCCGGCCCCTGCCCCCCATGCACGAACCCCAGCCTGTCTCCCAAGTCCACTCGTCCCCGCACTGCCCCAGCCAGGGGAGGCGCCAAGGGCAGGGCTGGACCGAGGACAAACACAGACCAGAGACCCCAACACAGTCTCCCAGGGCGGATGGCGGAGGTCAGGACCCCAAGCTGCTCCTGTGAAAAAGTGAGGGTCGTATCTCGTGTCCCTCGCGAAGCAGGAGTTTTGGGAGAAATAAGAGAAAGGCTCGGGGACCACAGCCCTGGCCCTGCCCGAGCATTGAGGGTCTCCCCTGCATGAGAGGACACCCCAGCTCCCGCCTGCACCCTCCTCCCACCCACCCAGGGTCTCCGTGTGGGGCGCAGGGCAGGGGCTTCTGCTCCCCGAGCCCGGACCCAGGCCCTCCCTGACAGGGAAACCCCACAGTTCTGAGAGGAGACCCTGAAGCCACAGACAGTTGAGGGCAGGTCTCCCCTGGATGCACCATCCCAGAGTCGGGTCCCCACCCAGGGGTGGGCTTCTGGGCCCCCACCCCAAGGGCCCCGGACCTCCTTTCTCCTGGCTGGGCCCCGGGCCCAGGGGTGTGGAGAGCCCGGGTCGGGGTCCTGGTCCTGTTAGGGGGAGAGGATGTGCTGAGCTCATTCCACACAGGCCCGGGGTCTCCACCCCCCTCCAGACCAGGCCGTCAGGACCCCGCCAATGACACATCCCACCGTCACCCACGGGAGGGGGCTGGAGCGGAGGGTGGGGCAAAGCTGCCGGGTTTGGCAGAAAACCGGACACGAGGGCCTCGGGCCACTTTCAGCTTCACGGCTCTGGGCCCTTCGCCAGCTCTCAGTGCGCCCGGGGGGCTCCGGGTCGGCGGGTCGGGGAGGACGCCCTTAGGCCTTTATCTCCCTCTTGTCTCCCTGCGTTGGACGTTCCCTCATCCCCGTCCCCGGGAAATACGCCTCTTCCTAACCTTCCGGGCGCGCCTGCCGTGGAGTGTTAATAAGGCCCTTTGAAGCCCGCGGGTGAGGACCCAGGGCCAGGCCACCCGTTTCATATCGGGGCTGCCTGTAACTGTCTCGCCGGCACCCACCGCCCGCACCAGCAGAGAGGGGTGTGGTCGGGCCCTGGGGCGCCCAGGCCCTGCACAAAGGCAGCCGAGCCCCCTGGGCGGAGCCCCTTCCCCTGGACTGCAGCTCGCCTGGCCGCGTCGCTCCCGAGCAGTGTGGGGGGAGCCGGGGGCGCCCAGTTATAGGGTCGGGCCTGCTGCCCTCCCCACAGACCCGTCACTGTCACTGACCGCAGGGATGAGTCTGAGGGCACAGGCATGTCCGGCCGCGTCCTCCCCCCCCCCCCGACACCTCCACCCACTGGGAGCACTTGCTCAGAGGCTCAGGTGTGTGCTGGGCAGGTCGGGGGCAGGGCCTGACCCTGTCCTCTTCTCCCTCCAAACAAGAAACTCTCACTGCACAAGGGGCTGCTCCCCAGACTCAATTCCAGGGGTCACAGGAGGGACCAAGGGAAAGGCAAGATTCCAGGTTCCCTGCCCCACCCCCCCCCAGGCAAGTATGGCGCTGAGCAGGGGGGAGGTGCCTGGAGAGGAGGCTGGGGAGAAAAAAAGAAGATGGAGCAGCCCCGAGGAGATACGTGGCACAAAGACCTGGGAAGAAGCTGCACTTGCTTCTAGACCTGGGACTCGGGGGCCTGGAAGAAGACACGTGACACAGACGTGGCGTGAGACTCGTGGGGAGGTGACAGGGGCAGCCTTCATCTCCATTGGGTTTGGTCTTTCCTCCAATTCACCTGGTCCTACCTCCCTTTCCTGAGGGACCCACCGGAAGGTGCTGTAGACTTGGGGCGGACATACAGGCCGCAGGCGTCTGCTCTAGTCCAGGCCCCCTAGGCTGGGCCTTCCCCAGGAGGCTACAGGCAACGTCAGGTGCTTGATGTGGACACGCATTCTTAGTCCTTCCTGCTGCACACAAATGATTAACGTTCCTTCCACTGAAGGTCTTGTGCACTACACTATGTTTTCTCTTGACACAGCAGATGGCAGAGCTAGAGACGGCTTATTTTGGGGTTGCGGGGTGTCCCTCTCCTTGCTTGTAATAGATTTGGGCTTGAGTCAGGAGATGGAGCATCTGTGCTTAGTCAGCCTAGGGGGAAGGTGGCTTCTGTGGCTCTGGCCACTCTCAGCCCAAGTGTAATTTTTGGTTTTTTAATATATTTGTGTAAGTTGCATATAGATTTGCTGTTGAAAAACTGGCATGGACCGCGAGGAAATTCCGTGTTTATGAGTGAAATCTGCTTCCAGCATTAGTTCAGTGGTTTGACCTTTGTGGAAATTGTTCCATTTGGTAACAGACGGTTTTACTCAAAAGATGGTCAACTTGGACCATGTGGGCAGGTCAAAGATGGGGTGAAGCCAATGGGGGGATTCACCAGAAGAAACTTCTCAGAAGATTACGCCCTTTTATCTCCTAAGTTCTAATATGCTGTGAGGTGGGCTGTGACGAAAGTCCAGGAAGGGGAGCTATCGATGATGTGCAGAGACCCTCAAACATTTCTGGCTGCAACAGAAAGGGAGCGACTGTTACGGAAGAAGCTGGGAAAGGCTGCTTTGTGCTAAGAATAGAATTGCCGGGAGAGCCAGCGACCATTGCTGAAAATATGAGGGACATGAACACACAAATGCAGGCACCCTGGAGCCCCACCAGGTTCCCTGCAGGGCCCTGCAGTAGCCCAGGGTGG